TCTAAGTAACTGATAGAACAAATAGATAGAAATAAAATGAAGATAGGAACATCAATATTATCCAAAATATATTTTAATAACTACAGAGCATTTTAAGCAAAAAAAGTTAATACCCTTCTTATTCAAGTATATTTGTAAAACTGAAAACAATGGCCCATAAACTGGTTGTGGACAATTTTAATTTCGAAAGCTAAAATTTTACAGAACATATTCTTTAATCCCAAGAAATTTAAATTGAAAAACCATTAAAAATAGGAACTTTTCAATGTCTCTTGATTTAAAAACTAGTATATTTTAAAATAAGCTATGAACTCGAAAGGAGCACTGGGGACTGGTGGTTAAGTTGGGCTGCTAGCCAAAAGATTGGCGATTGGAAGCAATCATGCAGCCCATGAGAGAAAGAGAAGGCAGGCCGGCCCATAAAGTCTACATGCATACAACCCCTATGTAGCAGTCATAATTTGCCTTGTATGTCACTTGGAGTCAAAGCCAATTTGATAGAGATCTTTCTGAGGTTGTTGTTTTTGTTTTAATAGAATATAAGTAAGTTGGAAAATATTTCAAACTGAATGATAACAAAACTAAAGCTACTAAAATTAGGTGTCATCTATGGTAGGACAAAAGATTAAACTCTAGAGTCTATACAACTAATCAGATAGGTGACAGTCCAAACCTACCCAGGAATAGCCCAGAAAATAGGCTCAGCAACTTGCTTTGAAAAAGCACAGCCTTGAAAACCCTGTCCTTAGGTTCCATCCGGTCTGTTCTAACCCATAGCAACTACATGCACAACAGAACAAAACACTACCCAGTCCTGCGCCATCCTCACTATTGTCCCGATACTTCAGTTGATTGTTCCAGCCACTCAGTCAACCCATCTTATTGAGAACCTTCCACTTTTTTGCTGTCCCTTTACTTTACCTAGAATGGTGTGCTTCTCCAGGGACTGGTCCCTCTGGACCAGGTCACAATATATAAGACAAGTTTCGACATCCTTGCTTTTAAGGGGTACTCTGGCCTCATTTCTTCTGAGATACATTAGTTTGTCCTTTTAGCAGCCCATGGTACTTACAATATTCTTCTCCAGAACTACAATTCAAATGTATCCATTCTTCCTTGGTCTTCCTTATTCATGTTACAACGAACTTACAGAGAAGAGGTGGCTTAATATCCTTGGGAGCCATCAAGACAGAGCTAACTCATAAAGACCCCATGTACAAGAGAACAAAATACTATCCAGTCTGTTGCAACCATAGCAATTATTACTATGTTTGATGCCATCATGCCATTCATCCATTTAAAGAGTCTTCTTCTTTTATTTTGACCCTCTACTTTACCAAACCTGATGGATACCCTTCTCAAGGAACGCATACACCATGATGATTTGTCCAAATTTATGATTTAAGGTAGTATTTGGCTCTTGGGGCCTTGCTATGCTTTTCTTAAGCTTCAATTTTAAATTATATATATAATTATGATTTTTTATTGAAAATTTGATAAACTTTTAATTAAAATGCATTGATAATTACAGGCAATTCAAATGCAAAATTTGGAAACAGAGAAGGAGGAACAGTAGTTGGACAAGGTGGTATTGGTGATAGACATGGACTGGAAGATAACATGATTTGAGAGACTCAAGACTTCATCGTGAATACTTTTTAACAACACAATAGGGGACTGTACACATGGACTTCTACAGATTAAATACACAGAAACCAAATAGACGACTTCTGTGGGAAGAGATGATGGAGAAGCTCAATAACAGCAACTAAATCAAGGCCAGGGGCCAACTGTGTAACACACCATCAATTGTTCGTATGTAAGTTCATACTGAAGCTGAAGAAAATTAAAACAAGTCGAGAGGCTTAATACTACCTTGAGTCTATCGCACCTGAAATCCAAGAACATCTCATGAACAGATTTGATGCACTGAACACTAATGACAGAAGATCGGATGAGCTATGGGAGGACATCAGGAACATCATACATCAAGAAACAGAATGTCATTTAAAAGGCAGGAAATAAATACAAATCAAAGTGGGCATTAGAAGATGCTGAAATTTTCTGTAAACCATACAGTAGCTAAGGCAACTGGAAGAAATGATGGAGTCAAAGAACTGAATAGAAAATGTCAATGGTCCGATTGAGAACCCAACGCTAAATATTATAACATAATGGACAAAGACCTGGAGTTAGAAAACCAAAAGGGAAGAACACACTCAGTATCTCTTCAACTGAAAGAACGGAAGAAGAATAATAAGCTTTGAGCTGCAATTTTGGAAGGGTCTGTAGAAAACATATTGAATGATGAGGGAAGCATCAAAAGAAGATGGAAAGAATACACCGAGTCACTGTACCAAAAAGAACTTTTCAACATCCCACCATTTCAGGAGCTAGCATATGAGCAAGAATCAATGTTACTGAAGAAAGAAGTCAAAACTGCGAAGAAGACGTTGACCAAACACTAGGCACTAGGGCTTGATGAAATGTTTCAACAAGCTAATGAAACATTAAAGAAATTCCTTTGTCCAGGTGAGGAAATTTGGAGGACAGCTAATTGGCCAACTGACTGGAAGAGATCCATAGTCATACCCATTCCAAATAAAGGTGACCAGCAGAATGCACAAATTATAGAATGATAATAATGACACTACATGCAAGTAAAATTTTGCCGAAGATCATCCAACAATGGTGACAGGGAGTGGCCTAAGATTCAGAAGATGATGTAGAAAAGGGAATGTCATTGCTGATGTCAGCTAGATCTCAGCTGAAAGCAGAGAACACTAGAAAGATGTTTCCTTGTGTATTAATGACTATGCAAAGCATTCAACTGTGTGGATCATAACAAAATCTGGATAGCCATGAGAAGAAAGGGAATTCCAGAACACTTCACTGTGTCATGTGGAATCGATTAGGTCATGGATCATAAGGCAGTTTGTGAAGGGATTTCTGCATGGTTTAAAATCAAGATAAGTGTATATCAGGGTGGTATCCTCTCGCCATATTTATTCAGTCTGTATGTTCAGTGATTAGTCAGAAACATTGGGTTAGATGAAGAAGTACCCCATATTGGGATGGGAAAACAGGTTATTAACAACCTGTGATATGCGTTTTGCACAATCTTGTTTGCTGAAAATGAGGAACTTGAAGCACTTGCTGGTGGAAATCAAGCATTGTAGCCTTTGATATGGCTTATAACTTAATAGAATGAAACCCAAATCCTCACAACTGGACCAATAGGTAACACCATGTTAAAGACAGAAAAGATTGAAATTGGCAAGAATCTCAGCTTGGTTGGATGCACAATCAATGCTCATGGAAGAAACAGTCTAGAGATCAAACATCAAGAGATTAAACAATGCATTGCATTTGGGTAAATCTGCTGCTTAAAGTGTTGAAAAGCAAGGAAGATTTCATTTCACGTGCGTTCAACATGTTATAAGATATACCAGTCTTTGGAGAAGGACCTCATGTTTGGTGCAGTAGAGGGGCAGCAAAAACGCTGAAAACCATGGGCGAGATTAATTGACACGGAGGCTGCTATGTGGACTAAAACATAAGTATAATTGTGAGGCTGGTGCAGGTCTGGGCAGTGTTTCATTCTGTTGTACATAGAGTCGCAATGAGTGGAATCAACTTAAGGGAACCTAACAATAACAACAAAATAATAACAAACCACAAGTGGCAATCAAGAGAGAATTGTGGTCTGGTTAAATTGACAAATTTCAGCAGTATAACCAGTGTTGCATTAACCCTTCAAATAAAATGTTTGCATTTAACTGCCATTGAGTCAATTCCGACTCGTGGAGGCCTTTGAGAACTGCCCCTATGGTTTTCTGAGGCTGTGATTCTTCGTGGAGTAGAAAGCATCTTTTCTCCTGAGCAGGAGTTGGTGGATTCCAACAGCTGGTGGATTCCAACAGCAGGTCAATAGCTCAACAGTAACTCCTACACCACCAGGGCCCTGCACATGATGTGTATTTATATACTACTAATTCTCATAATAGTCCAATGGGACATTTTTGTTTTGTTTTGTATTGTTCTTCCATCTGAAATATGTTCTTCCATCTGAAATATCAGATAACAAGATAGGTGATATGTGAGGAATAACTGCATTGTGAAAAACAAACCCAGTGTTTCTCAGCTTTTTAATATTATTATTGCCTTCCCCAAGTTGGAATTGGCTTGAATTCAACTAAAAAAATCAATTGTAACTTCTTAGAATTTCTTCCTTCATTAATCCCTGAAATGCTAATATCACACATGTACTGGAAATACACTGTACATATATGTGCTTTTTAAATAAAATATTTTGCCTTCATCAAGAACAAATTTTGCCCCCTTTGGTATGAAATCATCCCATTAAGAATGTGTGTACTATGCCAATTAATATGTTAAGGGAAATAAGTGCATTTAATATACATATATATTAGTAATTTTGACTCAAGAAGAAATAGAAAATATACATAGATCTCTAATTCATTTTCATTGACTTTGTAAGATATACCAGCCCAAACTTTTTCATTGGTGAATTCTTTCAGTCATTTAAAGAAAAGTAAGACCCAATCTAATACAAAATCAGAACATGGACCAGGAAGTGATAGTCCCCAAATGCTTTTATAAAGTAAGTGCAAGACATACATAAAAGCCTGACAGAGCATGTTCAAATAATATAAGGCAGCCTAATATAATTTAATGAAACCCAAGAATATAGAAAAAAAATTAATCATCATCAAAAGATGCTCCTCTTTGAAATGCAACAATAAGTCAATATTTGAAAATCATTCAATATGACTTACTACATTAAATTAATAAAGGAGAAAGTTGCATGAAAAGGTCTATAATCAAAAACCCAGCTCACTGCTGTATGGACAGAGTAGAACTGTCCTGGGGGTTGGCAAGATAATCCTTGGGGGCTGGAAGGACTGAATATACATTTGGAGGGGGAAAGAAAGAAACCTTAACATCTGTTTCTCAGAACAAAGACAAAAACAGTGTACCTCTTGAGTTATTGCTGCAGTTAAGGTGCCTCCAGAACTATCTCCTGAAATACAGATTCTGTTGGGATCCACTCCATACTTTTTAAGAATATTATCCTGAAGAAAATGCTTGACTGCAGCAAGGCCGTCTTCAAACTGAACTGGAAAGTGGTATTGAGGAGCTAGTCTATAGCTTTAAGGAAAAAGAAATAGGTCATTTATGAAAACTCTCTTATTTTTCAATCTTTGAAAAATCAAATCTGTGATTTTACTATCTTTTACTCTCTTTACTATCTTTGACATAAAGATTTTTAACTCTTAAGATTTTTATGGTGTCCTTGTGTGAGGGTAATAGGTTATTATGACATCATTATTATACTAGTGTTATTAATTCCCTAAATTTACATGTGCAAAATTTAGTCCCTGTACCTTTGATGTGGAGATTCTCTATAGCTAACATTATATTCATAATATACCTGGTGACCTAAATATTTTAAAAGCCATTGCTGGAAAAGCACTGCAGATTAGTAAATGCAGATCTGAGAGCATTTACAAGGTAAATGTCCTCTTTCATTTTATTTTTTAAGTAATCTAGATCAAAATTCTACAATGGGAAGCCACATTTTTAACAATGGTTAGTACTTGAGAAATTAGGTAAGTCACTTTTAACTATTCTAGGGCGCTGCTTTAAATAACTCCTGGTACAAATAGCTAAGCACTTAGTTCAGAAAGATTGGTAGTTTGTACCCATCCAGATGTTTCAATGGATAAAGAAATGGCAAGAAAAAAGCTATAGGTAGTTCTCCCTGCCATGTGAGGTCTCCATGAGTCTGAATCATCTCTGAGGCATCCAATAAGAACCTTAATATGGGAGTTTGCCTGTGTCATGTGAATGGATTTGTGAATCAGGTTATTTCATTCTTTAAATAGATACAAATGGATCTTTTCTGCATGTGTGGGCCTAATTTTTTTTTAAATCTCATCAGTCTTGTTTTAATATATTTTTAAAAATTTGTCTTTCATAATATTTGTAAATGTCTATACTTAGCATTGGAGAAGGTCTGGTGCCTACTGTATATGCCTTGGGCTGCTCACCATAAGGGCAGCAGTTTGAAACCCCCAGCTTCCTTCCGGGGAAGTCAGGGTGGGGGTGGGGTGGGGGGATGCTTGCTAGTCCCTTAGAGTTACAGTCCAACAAACCCACAGAGGCAGTTCTACCCCACCCTGTAGGGGCGCCATGAGGAAGAACTGGCTTGATGGTGGCCAGTTTTGTTTTTAGACTTAACATTACATGTTTATACCGCATCTGGTATACCACAGTATGCTTATTTGTTTACATGCTGAAGTATAAAAGAAGTAGTTTGGCACACTTAGAAATATTCCTGAGGTAGTGAGGAGGAAATATGAAGTTAACCAAAAAACGTAGAATCTGTGTTATTTGTGGGGAAAAAAATGTTACTCCCCTCTTGTCTTACTATCAACACAACAACAAAGAACAACACAAAACAAAAACATTGCCACCAAGTTGACTCTGAATCCTGGCGACACTACTAGGAGAGAGGAGAATTGTCTCTGGGTTTCTGAGGTTCTGTATCCTTCTCGGAGCAGAATGCCTCATCGGCCTCCCTTGGAGAGGCGGTGGGTGCTACCTACTGACCTGGCAGTTAGCAACCCAATGCGTTGCCCTCTATGCCCTTGTGGCACCGTGGCTCCTCTGGGGGCATTAAAACAATGTGTGGGAAAATGACATGATCGCTTTTCATGAACTCCTTGAAGCTCCTTTAAACACTGTGTTATTTTAAACCAGGACTTTCTACCAAGACCCAAACGAACAAAAAGGGCCTTTGGGGAGATTCTGACTTGTAGAGACAGTAGAAGAGAACTGCTCCAGAGAAAATCCCAGATGAAATCTTTACTGAGTAAAAGCCCTCAACTCTCTTTCTCCAGGATTGGCTGGTGAGTTAGAATGATTTACACCTTGTCGTTAGCAGCTCAGTGCTTAATCCACCATACCATGTGGTCTCCGTAGGAGTTGGTTTGGTGTAACATAATTTTGTGATCATCATGCTGGTTCCCAAATTGTTCACCACGGGTCCCCACAATGGAAGGGAAACAATGTGATGCCAGCTCTCTTTTAGGAGTGTTGGAGAACTGAGATTGTGACAAGTCAAACATATTGATACTGTAAAATTGTATTACAGGTAAGTCTACCTTGATTTGGAAATATGACTACTTAATGGTAAAGGTAAAAATTATAGAAGCAAAAGATAATAATTATCTTACTCCAATGCCACCACAACAGCATCAAGTCTGTTTGCTGTCCATCTATTCAGGAAGTCGTAAGATGCCTGTTCTAAAATGGAAAAATACATTAAAAGGTGCTACTTGTAACTAAAAAAACAACAGAAATGACACTTACAGATGTAAATGTGCAAAGAAATGTCTTTTTCACAAACGAGTTTTATTCCCCACCTCCACCTCCATTTCCATTCAGAAAGCCTTGAATCAGCATGACTCACTCTGCCCATTTTAGCTTCCCGAGACACACCCTTCCAAAACACAAAGATGGCTTTAGTAACTGGCACTTCAGGGAGGAGACTGTAAGCTACTATTGCTACATGCTGTGTGCAAACAATGATCTTTCCAAGTGCCCCTTGGCCAAAGGAGCCCTGGTAGCATAGTGGCTGAGTTTCTGGTTGTTTCCATACAAATCACTGCCTTGAAAACCCTAAGGGGTTTCTGTACTATAGGGTTGATATGACCAGGAAATGACTAGATGTAATGGATTTTTTTGGGTTCTATTTTGGCCTTGTAGACGGAGTGCATTCAAATCTACCTCTGTCTATATATAGCACAGCTCATTGGGAGAAGGGGGGCAGTGTGGTGAGTCACCATGACTGGGTAAACCTCTTGTCATGGAGTGGGTCCAGATCCATAGTGACCCTGTGAACTAAAACAAAGTAGAACTGCCCCCTCAGGATCGCCATGGCTGCAACTTCTGTAGAAGGAGACTGCCACATTTTTCTCCCTCTGAGCAACTACTAAGTCAATCAATTTAACCACTGCACTACCAGGGCTGGTCTCTCTAACTCAAATTCCACTTATCACCAACACTTAGACATTCACTCCCAAAAATCTTTATCAGAAGTACCAGGATGTTTCACTTACATTTTCCTGAATCTATGGAGCCATAGATATCTCAACTGGTTTGTAACTCAGGGAGAAAGGTGGTATGGGTTGTCTCCCTAAACAGCATGAATCTGTGTATGTCCTCAACAATTGGACACATTTGGTAGCTAGTGTAGAACTGAGATATTTCCAGAATTGTGATCAAATCCCAAACTTTCTTAAGGTATCCCTTGTAAAGTTTCAAATAAAAATAAGTACTAGTAATATAAAATCTAAGAAGAGATGGGTTAATAACCTAGCCTTTTAGGTAGAAAGAATAATGTTTTATTAAAGTTATTTTATAACAATGCAATGCACAGATAAAGAACAAAATACAAGAATTATTTGACTTTAATAGTTAAAAATTTCAATGATTTATTAAAAACCTATGTTTTCATTTTCATCTTCCAATGATTTTGTACTTCCCTTACAAGAACCTGACTAAGTTTTTTGTTTCCCCTTCTCATCTCAAACTCTGAAGTCACATATATTTGCCTGCTCATATCTTTCTCTGCTCCCTGACCAAGAAACATTGGGTTAAATGCTGTAAAACAAGAATCACAGAAGTATGTAAAACATCTACCAGAGAAATATTTCTGTGTTTCTTAATTCAAAAAAATTGCTTAAACTATATAACTGACCATGAAGTGTTTAGGAGTCAATTAAAAAATCTCAAACGTCTTTATGATACAGGATTGTTACAGATAGATAAAGTCAAAGAGTGGGTTAAGAAGCATGTGATTCGACAAAAGTAGCAAATTTGAGATAGATTTTTCTCTACAAGTGTTGGAAGGAAATTAGATAGGGGTTGGGTATAATTGTTAAATAAATGGAAGGGAGGGATTAAGCAGGGGATGAAAAGTACAAAGCTTTGAGAGCATGTAATTCCCTTTATCCATTATTTCCTCTGAAGTAGTAATAAGAATGGTCTGCAGATGACTGACAAGGGGGAGGAGTCCTGGAGTGACTCAAAATCACAAGAGTAAATCATTGATAGAAAGGAGAGACAGAGCCGATCAGATGCACATTACGGGGTTTCTGGGCCTCAGCAGGGGCAGAGGTCTGAAGATCAAGCATTAATGATTATCAGAAGCAGTCCAACTGAATGTGGTTCCTGGACCAAGATCAACTGGAAACTGACTGTGAATGCAAATCTCATACTCCAGCACAGACTTACTGATTCGGAAATTCCACTGATGGGATCCAGTAAGTCTTTGAATTGATTGTTAAGCACTAAATTTTGAGAACCACTGGTTTAAAACTTAAACCTTATTGAAGTAGAAAAGAGCTTTTCCCCTTCTTGCCTGTTTGTGCATATGCTGTAAAGTTTATTGTTTCAGACTCAAACTATTAGGTAAGAAAGAACAATCTTTATGAGGATTTCTTGAGGTTTGCAAAATGTCCTACTTCCCAAGCTCTTGAATAATTCACCCTGTAAATCATGCTACTCTGGAAAAGTACTTATTCCATCAGTTTCCTTGCTCATAGAGTTTATTTTCCTAATTATATGTCTTAGTATAATGTGATCACTTCTCAACGTTTGGCTAATCTTCATACTGCTGCCTAAAATACATCTATAAGGAGAACTCCTCAATTTCTCCCATTATATTTCACTATAAATATTTAATCCGACTAATAGAAAATAATCTATATAATACTCCTAGAGAGAGTTTTAAGGTGTTTGTTATATAATATTGTGGTTTTTAGGTGTCATTAAATTGGTTTCCACCCATAGCAAATTCATGCACAAGGGAACAAAACACAGCCAGCTTGGTCCTGCACCATTCTCACAATTGTTCCTATGCTTGAAACCATTGTTGCAGCCACTGTCTATCCATCTCCTTGAAATACTCCCTCTTTTCACTGCCCCTCCACTTTAACAAGCATAATGTCTTCTCCAGGGACTGTTCTCTCCTGACATGTCCAAAGTGTGTAAGACTAAGTCTCTCCATCCTTGCCTTTAGAGAACACTCTGGCTATACTTCTTACAAGACAGGTTTGTTTGCCTGTTTGCCAGTCCGTAGTACTTTCAATATTCTTCTCTGGCACCACAAGTCAAATGCATTGACCTTTCTTCAGTATTCCTTATTCCATGTACAATGTTCACATGCATATGAGGCAATGAGGAATACCATGGCTTGGGGAATGGGGACCTTATTCCACAAAATAACCTCACTGTTTTGCAACACTCAATATTCAATGAAACATAAGTAAACATATTTTTATTGTTCTCTGCTTTCAGCCAGAATCCATCTGAGATCACCAATGGTATGCCTTGTTCCATATCCTCTTTTGAATTTGGTCTCAACCTCTGGCAGATAGCTCCATGTCAATGTAATGTTGCAATCACGGTTGGATGACCTTCAGTAGCATTTTACTTGCATGTGATATTAATTCTATTTTTTCATAAATTGAGCCTTCTTTGCATCAGTTTTCTTGGAATGGCTACAAATATGGATGTCTTCCACTCAGTTAGCCAAGTTGCTCTCTTCCTAATTTTCTGATGTAGAAGAGTAAGTGCTCGCAGTGTTTTTCAGTTTGTAAGAACATTTCAATGGATATCCCATAAAGTCCTAGTCTTGTTTTTACCTAATGCTTTCAGTGCAGCTTGAACTTCTTCCTCAGTAGCATTCTGCCTCCTGAAATGGTAGACTGTTGACTAATACTTTTGGGTACAGTGACTCCTTTCCTCTTCTTTTGAAGCTTCCTGTATCATTCAATAATTTGCTCATAGAATCTTTCAATAATGCAACTCAAGGCTTGAATTTTTTTCTTGAGTTCTTACATTTCAAGATATGCTGAGACTGTTTTCTAATTTTGGGTTTTTGCACATTTCATTAAAATATTTTACTTTATACTCTCATTTCTCTTCATATTGTATAAATCTTTTGCCTTTCATGAAAATATTCTACTTTGTCTTCTTGAGCTGGCTTTGATCTTTTCTGTTCAGCTCTCTGAATCCATCATTTCTTCCAATTGCCTTAATTAATCCAAGATTATGAGTTATAACGTGTCAAGGGTTCATGTGGGAGGGCAGGTGGGGGAAGGAGGGGACAAAATGAGAAGCTGATATCAAGGGCTCATGTAGAAAGAATATGCTTTGAAAATGATGATGGCAACATATGTGCAAATGTGCTTGACATGATGGATGAATGTATGGATTGTGATAAGAGATGTAAGAACCCCCAATAAAAGTATTTAATAAAAGAGGAAAAGAAAAAGCTTTCAAACCGTATATCATAATACAATAAAGGAAAACTGTTATATAACTATGCCAAGCAAGTAATTAATTTTTTTAAATGTCTTTATGAATTTTTGTAATGTTTGTGACATTTGTCAGCGTTTTAAAATATATAATTTTGCATCAATTAAAAAAAAAGATTTAGAGCAAGTGTCAGAATCTCTTCTGACATTCAATTTGATATTTTCTTTCTTCGTTTTCTTTTTAATGACCTTCTGTTTTCTTCATGAACGACGTTCTTGATGTCTTCCCTCAGCTCTCTGGTACTTCAGTTATGAATGTTCCAGGCAGCAAATCTGTTCTGGAGATGGCCTCAAAATTCAGGTGGGATAGATGCAAGCTGGTATTTTGACTCTCATGGACTTGCCTTCTCAAGAAAGACAGGCCTTTCTACTCCTTTAAAGAGCTACAGTCTCAGGAACCCAGAAATGTAGTTCTACCCTGTCCTGCAGGGTCAGTTTGAACCTGCATTGACTCAAATGCATTCAGGTTTCTTTTGGGGGGGGG